CAAGAGAAACAAATCTTGCGAGTTTACCAGGCAAAGACGCTAGAAATACTTCGAAACTCCTCCCAGAGGGGAGCAAGAGATCCAGACCCAGACTGTGAAGTGGGTCTGTGGGGTCTCTAATGCTTTAAGCTCTCAGCACATAGCGCTTATAAGCAGTTCCTGTATAATTGTTCCTAGATCACAAAAGATATGAAATTAACTCTTGCAATACAACTAATGCAACTACAAATTCATTCTTGTTCAGGGAACTTTGAGGAAACTCATGCATTATAATGAATGCCATCAATTATTGTACCTGCTGAAGTATTTTTTCCAGTTTTATATCTGGATGGCTCTAAGTCTACGTGTTTGCACTTTTCCAATTTAGTTTGAGATTTCTGTCTGTTCTTGAAAGAGGATTAATGGAATTACACTGTAATGCAGGAACAGTGGTTATGAAAGGGGAAGCTGCTTATAAAAAATAGGTAGCTGCATTTCTTTCATAATTTTTCTTTGAGACTTCTTTTGTTAGCTTAAAAGCACCAAGCACATCAGGGCAGCAAGATAGTTCCGGCATATTTAGAGATATTGTGAAATGGTTGATATCTGAGGGTTTCAAAATTATTGAAGTCTGCCCTGCCTCCTGCAGTAGAGTCATTTCTGCTGCTATCTATTATGTGTTTGGGAGGTTCCTGACCTGGTGTACTTCTAGTTCTAAAAAGACAGTTTTCACAAGCTGTGCTGCTCTACTAGGGATTACATGGTAAAAATGATATAATTTCAATAGCACCATCTTTTTGCCATATAACATCGAAATAAGTAGCTAGGTTTGTGTATTTGCTTGGCATTGATTGAAGGGAGGATTATTTTTTCCTGTTGTCCTTTATGGTTTTACTCTGTGTGTATGTATATATATATGTGTGTGTGTGTATAGATACATACACACACCTAACTGTAACACACACACACACACACACACACACACACACACACACATGTTTTCTTAAGTTTTCACGGGTATTTATATGTATGGCATTCAGCTTTGTTTGGGTATTTTCCCACGTCATTATAGTTGTGCTTTTAAAGTTATAGCAACGTTTCAGCAGAATCTCATCTGCCATCATCAGGCTTCTGTATTGTGTTCGTTTGTTGGTGAGGGCTAGCTTCCAGATGTCTGGTAGGAGGGAGGTGTCATCCCGTCTATTCATGTTATGGGGGTGTTTCTCTATCTCGATGGCTTCCCTGATTATTCTCTTGCTGGAGTGTTCAGTGTTGGATATTAATTTGGTTCCTTCGAAATTAATTTCATGTCCTGTGGCTTTAAGGTGCTGGAAGAGGTGCTGGAAGAAATACCCCCATAACATGAATAGACGGGATGGCACCTCCCGCCTACCAGACATCTGGAAGCTAGCCATCACCAACAAATGAGTCCCAGCCACAAAACCCAACACCAGACCCGAAACAACATGGGACATCACTGCCAATCCCCCTCATCAGACCCAGGCCCAAGCCCATCCTATAAACGAAGGACAACCACCATCCAGAAAACAGACCACAGCTGCTTCACCACCCCGACCCCAAAACCAAACAAGCTGACACATGCCAAGAACACAGACCCAGACCCCAAACTCGAAGCCAGACTAAAACCCAGAATGCTACATCACGGCCACCTGCTCAGGATATCACATCAGAAAACTCAGGAAATTACACCACAAGAACTCAAGAAGTTGCAAAACAGCAAATGACCCAGGATATCACAGCACAAGACCAAGGATACCACAGCAATAAATCTCACAAGGTCATCACACAACCCATTACTCAAGCAGTTACAACACAGGAGGCTAATGGAAAAGAGATCAAAACACAAACGACCCAGGAGATTACAATGCAGGGCCCAGGATACCACAACAAAAGAACTCGCAAGCCCATCACACAACCCATTACCCAAGCTGTTAAAACATGAGAGGCTAATGGAAAAAAGATCACTACAAAACAAATGACCCAGGAGATTACAGCACAAGATCCAGGATATCTCCACAACAAAACTCACAGGGCCACCACACAGCCCATTATACCAAAATCAACTCCATCAACCAATCAAGAGGCAGCAATGCAGCCAACCAGCCCAGCACACCAGCCCCCACCACCAGTATTTATAAAGAGACGGCAGTTCTGATCACACACTGCTTGCACTGGCATGAAGCCGAAAGCACCAGCCTGAGGATGGCGAGTGGGACCTCACCGAAACGTTGCCAAGATACTCTTAATCTTACACAGGAAAAGACCCGAACACACCTAGACCTACATACATACACACATATATATTCCCAGACACACATATATACATATACACACATACATATACGTGTGTGTCTGTGTCTGTCTCTCTCTGTGTGTATGTATACAGACGCACACACATACATATAAATGTGTGTCTGTGTCTGTGTGTCTGTCTCTATGCATGTGTGTCTGTATATAAAAAATCTCCTTCTAACCTTACCAAAAATTGTAGTAAAGGAGATCAAATAGAGAAAGTTGCAAGTTATCAATGGAAACTGAAAATAGTCCGCAACAGTCCGTAACAGAAAAATATTTAGAGTGAATTTATAGGTTGTGGGCAGACCACAAGATATCATTGGCCTGTGGAAGAGGACCTTCTCCATCTAAAAGTCCTGGTATTATCCTAATGACGCTGACTATAATTACCATTAGAAGATGCAAAATGTTTACTGCGGAGCAATTGTTAGCCAGTGGAGGAATTGTTCAGTAATTGTTCAGTCTTCGTTAGCAAAATACCTAACAGTTGGGCAACTGATTTTTAAGCCATTGTCATATACAAAACTTTATTAGTCTGATTAAAATATATTTATTACTCATGTATCAGTTCAAAACAGCAATGAGAAATATGATTTAATGTTGGCATCTCCGCATTCAGAACCGAAACACAGGACAAGGGCAAAAGTGGGTAAGCCTCTTATAGCCAAGTCTTACCTTTTTGAAGAGAGGGAGTCAATAGTTGGGTGTTGATATAATTTCCACACAAATAAGATTTCCCCCCTTTTTGCAAAGAGGGAGGGTAGTTGGTATATTGTCTTTTCATTTTCAAACTATATCATGGCTAACATGTAGTTACATATTTTTCATTTTCCTTCAAAATGTTGGGAAACTTTATTAATAATTTTCAGCACTTACGGTCAGAAGAATTCTGAAGGATTACTTCACCCTGCATGTAACTTAAATAAGATTATTTCAAAAAGCAGAAGATATCTTTTGAAGATAATCTTTTTGCCAGAAGCTCCATTATCTGAAAACAGGGAGAGGGTCTCCGTATAGACTGCTGCCTCCAGGGGAGTACTTGTACACTTCTCTTTCAGGATTCAGTAAAATGGAAAATTATTTAACAGTTTTTACCTGTTAATTGATTTAAAAGATCTTGATTCTAATTTCATGTTATATAATGTACACTTTCATTTTAAGTGTTATCACTTGCAAATTAATAAAAAGTGCTCTGTTACTGATATTTGCAATCAAGGATCAAACCAGGAGTCAAATCATGGAAATAATTTATTTAGAAAAGGATCCCCAAAAGTTTAATTTCTGAGTTGAGGCAGGGAGTTTAATCCTTGGATGCATGGAAAATACAAGTATTCAGTCTTTAAAGACTGTACCTTCAAAACCCTGCTATGCAAATGATGATAATAAAACCAATGAAATCCTGTAAGTGCTATCTCTACTTATGTTGTTAGATTATTTTAGCTAAATATTTTGTGGGAGGCCAATTAACTATTAGATAGATTGATAACTTGATATACTTAAAAAACTTGATTAAAGTAAGATTTAACCAGTAAACATTTCTTCTGTTACTCACAGACTAGAAGTGTGTGTTTGTGTGCATCCACATATATGTACATGCATGTATGTAGACTATACAATCTACCTTGGAAAAAAATCACTGTTAGTGCTCTGGCCACCAGAGAACTGTTTTCATTTAACCATTCCCTAAATATACAGTTATATCAAGCATGTCTAACTATCTGCAATACAGAAATAAGGTAGTCAATATTATATTGTTTACTTCATACTCATCTATAGAAGAACAAGGCAAAAGTAAAGAAAAGGAAGACCTATATTAAGGCAAAGTTGAGTCCTTGACCAATATTTGCTTCAGAAATATTGTGTTAATTGTCTAATCTATTGTTTAGGTTTAAATCTTATCTGTTTTTCTCTAAAAGTCTATCATGGAAAATCAAGGGGTCTGGGAAGATATTTGATACCGCTATCTAATGTGCTGTTGGCTATCATTAAGTAGTAGCAGAGTTGTGAGGATTCCAACTATTCCCTGGAGCATTAAGCCCCAGAGTCAGCTGTGAGTCCAAGAAACAATAGCAGCCTACAGGAAGAAAGTAGAATTCCAGAAGATCATTTGTCACTTTGGTCTGCTGAATGGGGAGATGTGGTTGACTTGGCACCTGAAGTTGAGGTGACCTTTTGCTATTTTGTTCTCTGAACAGCTCCCTTTTTCAATGGATGATCTATTGATTAGATTTTGGAAATACAATATCTTGAGACTCTCAGGAGTCTGAATCATCCTCATGTAGCTTTTCTAACACTCCATTAATGGATCATAATATGAACTTGAAATCAGAACTTGTCTACAGCAATTTGTAGATATTTGGTGTTGCTGGATTAAATATCCCATGACCACCTATATCACCATCTTTAGAAGCCTCAATTTGGGAATAACTGGCTGGAGTAAATGTGATTACTGGGCAGTTATGGAATCACAATCTATGTCATGATTTCATGTGATCATCAGTGCATGGTGATCTGAAAGTTCCTGGAGATAATGGCAATAAGCACAGCTGCTTTGCAGGGGAGAAAGCGAGAGAAAAATGTTCTGCTTTTATGCCTCCAGAAGGGAGGAAATGTTTTACTTTGTTTAAGATAGTGTGGGACAGCAGTTATATAATGAAGGAAGCATTTTTATCTTTCACTTCAGATTATTGGGTGGACAAGAAGCAATGGTTGCCTGCCTCCTTTGCCTTCTATTTGCCTGCAATCTTCTGCCAGTCCTCTTGGCTGGCAAAGGTAATACTGATACTGTGGTTTTAGAAGATGAATGAGCCTGGGCAATCTGATGTTAGATCCCATATATGCTGTTGAAAACTTTTCCAGTCTCTCCTCCTCAGTTTTCTTATGGGTTTTGATCTTTCTCCTCATCTCCTCTCTCACTCCTGGTCATTTTTTACTGTTTTCTTCTCTCCGGCTTTATCAGCTAATAGTATTGGCATGTCATTGAACATACTAGTCTTCCACGTTAGACCTCTTTAGTCATCTTGTCCTAATGAAATCATTTATTTAAGGACAGGAAATATTTTTCAAGTTATCTTTTCAGACAGCTGCAGCTAAGAATTGTATAATTGAGGCATGTACATTTCTGAGATGATTTTAGTTGGTTCTTAATTGGTGTGTTGTAAGAAGGGGCAATGCTGACCTCAAATTAAGAGTGGAAGAATGTACAAGTAGTCCTCAACTTATGACCACAATTGAGCCCAAAATTTGTTGTTAAATGAGAAATTTGTTAAGTGACTTTTGCCCCATTTTATGACTTTTCTTGCCACATTTGTTAAGCGAATCACTGTAGTTGTTAAATTAATAACATAGTTGTTAAGCGAATCTGGTTTTCCCCATTAACTTTGCTTGTTAGAAAGCCGCAAAAGGGGATCATGTGATTCTGAGACACTGCAACCATCATAAATGTGAGTCAGTTATCAAGAATCCAAATGTAAACCATGTGATCATGGGGATGCTACAATGGTCATAAGTGTGAAAAATGGTCATGTCATTTTTTTCAGTGCTATTGTAACTTTGAACAGTCACTAAACAAACTGTTGTAAGTTGAGGACTACTGTAGTTTCCAAATTTTAATCAAGCAGTATAACATGGAGTTATTAATAGTAATCTCTCTGCATTTTCTTTTTTTCTATAAGATTTTTCTCCTATTCTTTCACCTTACTTTCCTTTCCTTTAGATCAAGATTCAGTTTCTGTCTCTATTGCAAAAGGCTTTTAAGTTTTATATTTAGCAAAACAAATTAAGGATCAAAAATTGGAAATTTACTTGATAAATTGGATTTAAAAGAAGTTTTAAGTATTTGTACTGGGGCTTTTTAATGTCTGTGAAATGTCAACTTCTACCATGCGGATTAAAAGATGGAGAAAAGTTAAGAAATAATCTATTTCCACGCAGTTTAGCATATTAACTAAATTGCTCTAAACCATCTAAATTGCTCTGCAGAGGATGCTACTTCTTCTGTTCTCCATCTGAAGTTGGCACACTTAGAAGAAAGAAATACTTATGGGCAAATACTGTTTGTTGACTTCAGTTCACAATCACCCTTCAGCATCTAGTAGACAAACTGGGCCTTTTAGGCTTCGGTATACCTTTGTGCAACTAGAATCTTGACTTTCTTATTGATAGGCAAGTTGGCCAATATGGGCAAGTTGGGACTAATATTTTGCACACAATTTGCTTGAGCACAGGTTCTCCTCATGGCTTTGTCCTAAGTCCATTGTTGTTTACCCTGTTGACCCATGACTGTTGTGCTAGGTTTACCATTAATCATATCGTGAAGTATGCAGATGATACAACAATAGAGAGCCATATTCAAGATGACAATGAGCTTGCTTACCGCAAGGAAGTAGATGGTTTAGTGACCTAGTGTAACAAAAACAGTCTCATTTTAAACATAGGAAAAACTAAGAAATTATTGTTGATTCAGTAAAGGCAGCACAGCTATACACGTCTATTAATGATTCACCTTGTGGAGGTGGTTAGCAGCATCAAGTTTCTGGGTGTGCAACTAATGAGTAGGTTAGCTTGATCACTCAACAGTGAGACACTACTGAAGTGGGCTTAGTAGTGCCTACATTTTCTGTGTCACTCTAGTCCTTACCACTTTCTATAGAAGGACGATGGTAACCATCCTTTTATATTGCCTTACTGTCTGGTTTGGAAGCATTACTGCTTCAGATAGGAAGGTAGTGCAGAGAGTGATACAGATGGCAGAAAAAATCATTGGTAGTTCACTTCTTCTATTCAGGATATAGCATATAAGCGATGTTTGAGCAGAGTTTGCAGGATTGTCTCAGATGCAACACATCCTCTTCAACTCTCTCTCTCTCTATATATATACTGTGTTAGAATGTTTTTTTTCTTCATTGGGAGTCTTGGTCTGTGTTTATTGGTCTTGGAGTTTATATATATATATATATATATATATATATATATATATATGTATGGTGTTCGGCTTGGTTCGGGTATTTTCCCACGTCATTGTAGTTGTTCTTTTAAAGTTGTAGCAACGTTTCAGCAGAATCTCATCTGCCATCATCAGGCTTCTGTATTGTGTCCGTCTGTGGGTCAGACTTTTACAGTGGTTTCAGATTTAAATTTGGGGCAGCCTATTGCTGTGCCAGAATGGTTTTTTCTTCATCCTGATTGGTTGGGAGTCTTGGTCTGTGTTTATTGGTCTCGGAGTTTGCTGTGTTCTGCTTGATTGGTGTCTCTAATATCTTCTGTCTGTTTTTTGGCTCTTTTTGTATCTTGATTGGCTGGCAACATTGTGTTACTTTA